AGATAGATAGATAGATAGATAGATAGATAGATAGATAGATAGATAGATAGATAGAAAGATAGATAACATAAAATCCCCATTGTAATGACTGACTCTGTGTCTGTCTTGGGGCTGAGCAGTAACAAAAGCAGCAGCAGCAGCAACTACAACAACAAAAACAATAATAACAACAACAACTAAACAACAGCAGCAGCAGCAAAACAACAGCAACAACAGCAGCAACAATAACAACAACAGCAACAATCGTGATTCGTAGATTTGGAGCACTGGCTGCTGCGATGTCCCGCCACGGAGGTCCGGCGATGGTATCTCTTTTGGGAGGATTCAGGGAGGTTGGAATACCTCCCCCGCCAAAAAAAAAATAATTAAAAAATATAAAGATTCTTAAGAATAACTATATAAATCATTGTTTGATACTAGGGTAATAGTTTGAGCCCCCGGCTCGGACCTTACTTGACCTTCTACGCCTATCGTGAATCTTCAGTCCCTGTGGGGCCACTTTTTGGCCTCGTGATGTCATTTCCGAAGACGCTTTTTAACATATACATGTATTTGTTTTTAAAGAATGGGGTTTAGATATTTACCTTTACCGATGTTCCTTTATAATAAGTACACCCTCTACACTGGAATAACCCATCGGGTTTTTTTTAAAATGTGGTAACGATGAATGATCTACCACCAGACAGTAGAAATAACAGAGGGAGCATACAACCAGAAATCAGGCTGAATCGGGAAGGGGCAGGCCCAGGAAAAGGTGGATAGAGGGGGTCAGAGAAACAGTCAAGAACAAGATAACTATGCAACAGGAGGTACAAAATACAAGAGAAAGACTTTTGCTTCTCCCGTCGACACCAGAAAGTGACAGAGGCCGAAAAAAGTAAACGTGAAGATGGTGAATGAAGGCAGGCTGTTTCAGGCTTAATGCTAGATCTCAGCGCTACTCTTTAAACGCGATTGCTAACCAGCTAGAAAGATACACCGACCAGTTATTTCAGGCCTTACTCATTTTTTTCGGTTTTGTTTTGTTTTGGTAAGTGTTCTATGGTGCTCACAACTACATACGGTTCTATGAGCGCACAGGACACAAGAAACATTTTCAGTCTGGTAGGAATTAATTTTGAATTTTGCCAGGGTGACGGCTGAAGCCTATTCTTACCGATTTTTGGACCACCAACGTGTAGAACTTGCACATGGGACCTCCGAGATTTCTCGTCCGTATTCGAGAGGGCTAAATGTTAGATCTTACCTACCATAAGATCAGGGGTGTGGCTGAAAGACAGCAGTAAGAAGGAGCCAAGGAGTAGCAGTAGAAAGGCTGCAGAAAAAGTCAGAAGTCCAGAAGGGGCAATGGAG